TCCAGAAGGTCCTGCTCGTCCACTAGATTATTATGCCAAGACAGCTGATCTGGGGTTGGGCTGGCAGGTTTTCCAGAAGTTAATCCCTCCAAACCAGAAACAGATTGTGTTTTCTGGAGGCAGCCTGGCTCCAAAACTGGCCTGTTTCATCCTGGAACGTTTGGTTTTGTACAACCCTAATGGACTGGCTTGGTTTCCTTCTTTAGCTCTCCACACTTCCCATTTCTGAAGAAGCCCCATGGGGTGCCTTTTTGGAAGATCGAATGAAAGTATGTGAGGCCATGAAGACTGGACACTGAAAAACAGGACATTCTCTCTCTCCTTCCCTCCATCTCTCCCACACACCCACACACGTATGCCTTGATCATCTAACCACTGAAGAATAACTTGCTCCACTTACAAGAATATCTATGAAAGTTTTATGCACGGAAATCAGTTTTGAAAGTGAATTCTCTTTCATTAGCTTGAATGAGAACTGCTGAGCGGGGATAGCAATACAGTATTTACTATATTCTGTTTGCATCACACACTGAACAATGTGTATAGCAGCACACTTGTTTTCTGCTGGTGGATAAAAGGATCGATTTTCAATGGAAAACACCAGAAGCAACATCAAAACCTGCTTCCATTAACTGTGCCATCTGGAAGAAAAAAATCCAAGAAACCGAAGGATTCTATCAATTTCTCAAACTGTGAATTAGCATCTACAAAGATCTCTATTGGTTTGGACAGTCTTTTCTCAGGAGTAGTATATAGGCTGAAAACACCGCATGGATTCATACACATCAATGCTAGGGAGACAGGATCTTCTTTCTCCCTCTGTTCAGAGAAAGAGGGCATGGCTGTGATGTCCCCCAAGGAAAGAGACAACCAGAAATGTGAATCCACATTTTCTAGAAGGTTTTGGACAGGATTAGTAAAGTTTCTACTTTTTCTAGAGGGTTTTGGACAGGGTTAGTAAAGTAGGTGCCAGCTAGATGCTAAGACCCAATCAGCCTTGGCCAATCTTAAAAAACTAAAGAAGGTGGGCCTTGTTAATAATTAGACAACTGATCGCAAGGGAATTCTGAGGTTGTAGACTGGAAAGTTGAAAAAAACATTGCAGAAGAAGTGCTCCATTTCTGTACTGGTGCCAAGGAAACCACATGGACAATTCTAAGAAATCACCAAGAGTCAAATTTAGCTTAAGGGAGTTTGCAGTTCCCAGAAGATGGAAGTGCCAAGCTAACCTTGTCTGGAAACTAAGCAGGGTCAGATCTGGTTAATATCTGGATGAAGACTAGGACTGTAGGCTAGAGTGGGAAGTCAAAAACAAGCACCCCAGAAAAAAAATAATGACAAACTCCAGCCGTGTTGCTGTAAAAACAAACAAAACAGATGTTTTTGTAAAATCAGCAGGGATCGAGCTAAACTTCGGAGGGTCTTTAGCTTCAGTACAAGTGTCTTAAGACTTTGGGAGGGGTTAATTCTCCTCTTTTATTGTGTGCACATTGAAGAAAAACCTGAAATCATATCAGCATTATTAGCAGTTTGCTGCTTAATTTCAGCCCTGTAATTTAGGTTCTGGGCCAAGTGTGGTTCGTTGGCTGAATCACTGTGAGCTAAGCCAAATCAAATACAACCCATTACTGACCAAGTATAATAGTCACTGTGAAAATAAAACCACAACATTCCACCAACACTGGCAACTAGGGGTGAGCCAAACATTTCAAATTCAAGGCATTTTGAGTCTGAAGCAGGTTCTTCTGACCTTAAGGAGAAATGTTAGGATGCTGTTCTGATTGCACTAGAGATGTTCTGAGTTCCAAACTGGCCTTGTTTGGAGATCACATTGTTCAAGCAGCTCAGGAGGGCTGATCTGAATCCCAAATGGGGTTTCAAGCTTGAAGCATTTCACAAGCAAAACATTTTGCACACCATTAGTATTCACTGGCTCAAAAGTCAAAATAAAATATGTGTTCTGGAGGATGTAAACCAGAAAAGAGCTCAGCCGATTGCTGGAAACAGTTTCCCGGCTGGGAAGTTGGGAACTTGAGCAATTCAAGTTTTAATGTATTTAAAAATATATTAAGGAGCAATGTGTTTGAAAAGGGGAGTTTTATGTGGTTTTCTGGACTTGCAATCACTAGGAATGGCTGCTTGTTTACTCTACACACAAATCATGCGACTGTGGTATGTACTTCTGCTGTTCTGCCCAATATCTTGAAAAGTGGCAACAGGGCCTACAAGGTGAAGAAGAGGTTGAGTTGGCAGGAGACCTGGACTGAAGCACTGAGAAGAAATATGCCCTTGTTATCTGAAACCCTTTTATGGGTATGGAAATGGATTTGCCCAACTGTAACAGTTCCAAGGTAGCTAAGAGGGTTCTTGACTATGGTGTCTAGTCTGGTCTGCATTCAGACAACATGCTAAGGCCCAAACAAGGATGTGCTGTGTCTTACCTGCATTTTGAGATTCCTTAATCAACATCTTAGGTTTGTCATATCACCTGTCATTTGGGGAATTTCAGAAAGTGAAATTTAAGTCTACTACAAGCCTTGACCAAGAATCTCAGTTTCTACTGATCCCAAATACTGGCAGCTCAAGGTTCAGAAAACTTTGTAAGCATAAGAGTTAAAGAAGTATGCATGAGGGATGGTGCTAAGATGGCAGCCTGTGTGCTCATCCACTAGATTCTCCAGGTTGGAGTCTCATGTGAAGGCTGCTGTAGACTCAGAGTTGGGTTCACACATCATGTTGAGCCCAAGACAAGCCATGCTATCACTTGATGTATAAGTAATTGTGGTCTTTAATCCATGATTTATGGTAAAGATGGTTGAATCATCCAAGATCCAACTGGAATCATCGGTTCAGCTTGACCAAACTGACTTTCAATCTCAATTGAATCAAATTGATTCAAACTGTCAGTTCAATAACAAGTACCCATCAGTCTAATATATATTCTTGCCTTCCATAAACCATGACTGAAACAAGCCATGGCTTAGTGTTATGTAAATAAAGAAAGTGACACCCAGGAGCCTGACTTCCCACCACATTCAGATGCCTCAAAATGTCTTCACAGTGGGCAGATTTAAGCAAAGTCTGCTCATTGTGAGAAAACAGGTTGAGCAGCTAACTAATTTGCCAGAACATGTGTGAACAACAGCAACTAACCAGAATGTTTATATGCAGCCCACAGATGAGATACTACAGATCAATCATGAAAACTGGCTGTCACAGCTTTGCCCTACTTGGCTTCCTCTCAACCTCCCAGAACTCCCCAGTAAGTTAGGCCAAGTTGGGGAATTCTGGAACTTTTAGTCCAAATACAAGTGGGGAAGGATACTGTGTCTTCAAGTCATGTATGAACACCTGGTTGGTATTAGGAAATTGGACTTGATGGACATCCAGTTTGACGCTGTAAGGTTATTGTTTGTTACTGAATTATCTAAACAGGAGCTCAAAGCAACAGAGATGGCACTTCCTTCCTCCATTTTTCCCAAGCTTAGGAGGTAGGTTGGGATGAGAGATAGTTACTGGCTCAAAGTCACATTGTAAACTTTGTAAACAACACAAATAATATGAACTTGAACCCAGGTCTCCTGGACGTCATTCCAGTAGCTGAAGCATTACACTCTGGAAGCTTTCCTAAGGTCCTACTGAACTTAAGAACCTACATTCTGAGACTCAGGTTCTGCTGCTCAACAGGATCTGATGTGGAGACCCTGCAAAATAGCTTCTCACTCAGAATTCATTCATCCGACTATTTATTCCTTACATGAAATAGATAGTTACTCAGGAGACCAGCGAATGGCTACAGGCAGTTCTGGGTCCAAGATCCATATGAGTTAAAATGCAATTTCTTGCAGATGGAAAGATATTGGACAAGGTGCCTGGAATCCTGAAGAAGAATTCACCTTCCAAATTCAGGGAGACCCCTCGTGTTAGCTGTTTAAATCTCCCAACCCACTGCTTTAGAGTTACAAAGATAAAAGAGTGGATACAATTCTGCTTGTAAGAGACAGAAGCCTTAAGAACTAGAACCCAGATCTGCCCTTGTGGTTTCACAGAAGGTTCAAGCAAGTCCAAACCTAAACCTGAAAGCTTGGATGTGACTTTTTTTTTAAAAAGACAAAGAATCCGAGCACGTAAGTTCTCTTGATTTTGGAAACGGTTGCAAGTTTGAACAGCACAAATAATTTGCAAGGGGAAATTATAACTCTGGCATCTTTCCAGAGAATCTGATTCATGGGCTATAATAGGATACTTATGGCACATCAAATACCAATTTTAAAAGCAGAGAAAGTTCGTTTTCTGCTCTGAGGGGAAAAAAAAAAAAATTAGGTTAAAGAGATCAGAATTTGGGTCAAAGTGAAGAAGCCAGAGTGTTTAAAGATGATCTTTTGTGAAGTTTGGAAAAATTTGTACTTCTGAATAACTTGGTAGCATATTATTAAGATACAGATAATTGTCAGCCATTATGTGAGAGATGGATATGCTAGGAAACAAGGAAAGAGCTCAAACTCCTGGGAAGTCCTTGGACAATTTATGTTCATGCAAACCAGGTAGGGCAGCTAAGCTTCAGACCTGTCAAGCAGACATTCATCCTGAGAGAAGGTCATTCATTTGCTTTGGAACTGAAGAACTGAAAGGCACCAGCAGGGTGTATGAGTGTTAGATTTCTGGCAAGCAAAACCAGTGTGAACTTCTGATGCCTTCTTGAAGAAATAGTATGCGGAGTACCTGGCGCAAGAGAGGGCAGTCTGTGTCCCCGCAAGGAAAGGGTAATGACACACGTAAAACAAACAGATTGCAACACTCCTTCCTGGACAGCGGGCAACAAGGATCTCATCTGAGGAAGAATCTAGTTCAACAGGGTAGAGGGTTGACAGGATACAAATGCTAAGCCCAAACATGTTTTAGAGGAGGGTTCCTCAACCTCAGCAACTTTAAGATGGGTGGACTTCAACTCCCAGAATTCCCCAACCAGCCATTCCCCAGCTGAGGAACCCTGTTTTAGAGGACTCCTCCAGTGGAGCAGGCTAAGGTGCACATTCCCTCAATACTTGCCAAAGCTTCTGAGTGGCTGGAAAGCAGAGCAAAGCAAAATTATGGGTGGCTTCTCTTTGCTCCTAGAAGCAAGGTGGCCAATAGCTTTGCAAAGCAGCTGTGAAGGACTGCTTTGCTGGGACCTCTTCAAAATGGAGCACCCTTCAAAGACTGACGCCACTCTACTTGGTACCAGATCTCTACATACAGAAAAAAAATATATAACCAGGTAGACCACTCAACACAACTATTTTCCCTAAGATGTTAGTTCCATGGTGAATGGCTTTTTAGAATAATCAGCTCCCATCCACAGCATGCAGTTGGCCAAACAGAAGGGTTCTGAAGGCCATCTGTCCAACCTTGATGATCAGGGATGATGGGAGCAGTAAAATGTTCACATGTTGCATTAAGCACAAATGTGATGTATGCACCCAGCATTGTGGCAGTAAATATATGGCATATGTTTTAATGCTATGTATAAAGCAGGCCACTATAGCTTGTTGTACAAAACCCCAGTTAGAACTAAAGGGTAGGGCTGCATGAAGCCTTTGTTTGGAGATCTGATCTGAAGTCCGTTCAGCTGAATCTCTGCACTGAATTGACTTTTAATTGACAATTAAGTCAGAAATGGATACATACTCCAAATCAATTTAAATAACCAAATCATATCAAATAGATGACCTAAATTAGATCAGAACTCATCTACACATTCTGACAAAACATGGTTTACTGCAATATGCGAATAGAACACATCTGGCAATTAATTCCAATTATGCACCACTGTTTTAATCAATTCTGAGTTTCCCACTGATACTGCATAGCCCTATCTGCTTTCTCCAAATTCCTCACTCCAAAATTGTGTTGTAACTGTAAAGCTTCATATAAAGCCCCTTATTTTTACCAGATAACTTGGGATTTTTGACAGTGCAACCTCATTTAACCTTTCTTCCTTGCCAAAAAAAAGACAAACCCTGGGGCTTAGCACAGGTACAACTGCAGTGAACCTTCAACAAGCAGATTTGCCAAGCTATGACCTCATTCCCTGGAGCACCTGGATAGAAAGATGTGCCCCTCCTAGATAGCTTTGTCTAAAAGCATGCTTCAAAAACAGACAGTCCAAATTAGGCTGATACTGAAACTGCAACACCACATCAAATTACAGAAGAAACTCCAAGTCTTCAAGCTAACTTGGATTTTAGATCCAAACATCTAATTATTGGAGCTCCTTTAGTTAATATTTACTTTAAAAAAATGATTTCACCAATTCAGTGATCTGGTTCACACACAATGTTAGGTCATGCTTTGTGTAACTATGATTTGCAGAATAAACCATAACTGGCTGGGTTTATATATAACGCTAACCCATAAACCATGGTTTTCAAACCACAGTAGCTGGCTTATCCTTAGTGTTAAAACTTACCCTTGGCATATAAATTTAATAAATAATAATAATAATAAAGCCAAAACTAAACCTTATTAGAGGTTAGCATGATATGTGGAGGTTAGATCACATGTGTACAAGAAGTTTGTCTATCTGTATCAAATCTGCACTAGAACTATATGCAATAAGAAAAAAAAAACCAATTTACCATGGGGTATATAAGGGCAGGCATGTAACATCTCAAGATGACATCCAGAGACCCCCCCCAGAATGAAATAAAAGTTAACTAAAAAAAACAGCCCAAATTTCACAAGATGTCAGTGCTCCTGCATGTGAATTCATTAAGATTGTCAAAGGATATATGAGATTTTTGCTTGAGATGGTAGAAGTCTTGGGGTGAGCTCAACAAGATCTCTCTAGCCATCTATAACACACTCAAAGGAAAGGGGGGAGCTTGATCACTGATGTGTGCAAAAAATACCGATGTGTGTCACCAAGAGGAACATACTGAAAAACAGTCCTTCAGGTTGACCATTCTAGCACAATTTAACACTTCCTTCCAGACTCACCTTTTCTCCCTTTTGCCCACTGCAGTCACACTTAGTGCTTGATGAACACCCATGGCACACCTACAGGAGAAAAAGGAAAACTGAGCGTGAGATATTTAGTGGTCCTTGGATAAGAAGAATTAATCCTCTAAAGGAAGCGAATGGGGAGCAAAGACGCTCCGCTGCTTCATTCTGGAGGTAAACGCACTTTAGAAATGGCACGTATGCCAAACGCTGAGAAAGCAGATACTCTTAATTTCAGCCTGCAAAAGAGAAAGTCAATTTTAATGATAACTAAGCAATGAAGCCCACCTAACTGTTTACAAGAATAAAAAAAGTGTGGGGGGGGGAATCTCATTGAGACACCTATAAATCCCCCTGTGGGACTGTAGAAAAAGAGTGGCTTGCTTCTGCTTTGTAGGGATGCAAAAATAGGACAGTTTCCCCACTCCCTAAGCAAAAACCTTGACAGGTTGCTGGTTCTATCCCACTGAGGCCAGACTCTCCTGCCCTCTAGGTTCCCAATTTGGTTCCTTGCATGTCTCCAACACTTCAAAAATCCCTCTTCTGATCATCCACCCTTCTGCTCTTTAATATCATTACAAGCATCCTTGTCCTCACCTTCAAAGTCTTCAGAAGCCCTGTGGCCTACTACCACTATTTCAACATCCTGAGACAGCCATGTTGTATTGTTCATTCCACCCTCCTCCTTGGTCAAAGATGCCCAGGGCCCTCACCTGATCCCCCTAACCCTAGCCCTAACCTTAGCCATAACACCTGAGTGAAGCCACCTCCTTCTTCTACCTGAGGCTTCTTTGAAGCCCATCTTCCCTGAGACACTTACAGTACACACCCCAAGGAAACCAGGCACTATAACTAAAGCTAAATCGCATACAGTTGCCTTTCATTTGGGGTGATCCATACAGACATCCCCTTGCGAGATAAGCCTACTGGGTGGGAATTCTGGGAACCACCACGCCAGCACAACTGGAAGTCCAAGGTCTATAGGAAAGGTTCTGTAAGAGGCATACCCTTTCCTCCTGTACACTCATTCAGGAAGCAGGGAATGCCTCTTCAGGTGAGTCCTTGTGTGTAATAATTCCAAATCTTTTGAAGAACAAATTAATTGGACACGCCCTTAAAAATCAACTAAGCCACTTCCCTTTGCAAAGACCTGCACATGGTGTATTCGTCCAAAAATCATCAACCCAAGAATCTGTTGGCACGTTTTCTGCATCCACTAAGCCAACTCTTCTTCCTATAGATTTTGTCTTTTGAAAGGCATGCAGTGAAATATTGCACCAACCCTCACCTCTGAGTTGGCACACTGGTTAGCCATCCACGCAAGCGATTTGAGCAATTAAATAACTACGTAACTGGAGCAGCTTGGATTGCCCAACAGTTGTTGTATCTTGAGGACACGGTTTATATATTGCATTTTATACCGCTTCCCTTAGAAGCATCTTAAAGTGCTGTCCAGATAAGAACATAAAAATGAAGGAAATATACAGAAAAGCTGCAAGAAATTAACATTCATAAGAAATCGATGTGGCTGCAATCTGAACTCTGGTCAATAGATGGAGCATTCTGCTCATAGTTGCAAAGTCATTTACTCAAATCCATTCTTCCCCAACTCAACGCTCCCCAGGTCTGCCAAGAATACAGTTCCCAGAATCCCCAAACACACAGAATATTGAGGAATTCACACCCTTCTCTTGTTTACTCATCTCAGTGGTTGCCATCTAAAGTTTCTTTTTTGGAAAAAAAAAAAAAGTAATAATCACATCAGCATTCAAAGCCAAGTCAGAATAGGCCAGCAAATAAGATGTTAGACATTAGTTTAATTAGGAATAATTCCATTCCTAATTTCACATTTCCTGCTGCAGTTCAGTATTGCCCTTTTAAATAGTCTGAAGAAGATTCAAAATGCATAAAAAATATTGAGCGTAGAAGGAGAAGCCTAAAACCATCTGAAGGAAAATAAAGGCTCAGTGAAATAACTTTAAAAGCCCATTTCATCCTACAAGGCCTTATGAAGTAATGAAAAAGGCCCATAAAACAATGAAACCATTTCAGTAAAGCACCAATCAATCTATGAAAAGATGCAGTGTTTAAGACCATACATAAAATGAAAAAATAAAACTACACATTGCAAATGTATAGACTATATAAATACAGCTATCCGTAGATAGTCAAGCAAAATATTTGAGTGTGGATTCCCCTTCAAAAATGGGGCTGATTCCAGACTGAGATTTCACCCAAATAATAATTTTTAAAGCCCTTAGTTGATTAACCTCATGATACTTAAATTTAGTTGTACTCTGTACTGTTCTTTGGGATATTCTGTCTTGAAATTCACAGGATTTATTTCTGACTAAAGATCATACCACGTTTCTTAATTAACAATCCTGCAGAAATTCACTGGATTCACATGTTGCAATGGGAATTGTTAACCAGAGCTTGCAGAATAAACCAAATTGCCAAAGGGCAGCCCACAAAGATTGGGTTTATACAATACTTTGAGCCCTAACGAGCTTGCTTGGTTTCGGTTAACGGATGAACCCGGGTTAAATAAGAAAGGAGAAAGGAGACATGTGTCTTAAAATCAGTGCGGCTATTAACCAAATAGGTTCTTGCATTAAAAAATGTCAGAAGCCCTTTTCAAGTTGCCAACTGATGATTTCATTTGCAAATTACTGCAAATCTAAAGTTAAGATCAACAGTTACGGGCACCACATGCAGATTGTAAGAAAACATCCCCCTGGAAAGGGTTAAAAATTAACTTTTTAAACCAATCAGCTCATGGTGGGTGAGTTGGAAAACTGGCACTGAATCCCCCCCCTGCCCCATTCCTCAATAACACCCACTCTCACAGAATGGATGTCTGAAAGATGTAGCTCATTATTTAAAATCAGTGGGTGTTCCTGCACTTCAGTGATGAGATGGCCAAGGAGTGGGCAGGAACATCCAGTCTTTTTCAACACAATCTATTTTTCCAGCCCCCTGCAATCTTCCTACCTGCCCACATTCCTTCATTCCCAAGGGAAGACCCCAGAAAGGAACTCATCCCAGGAGGCCTTTTCTGATGGAGAACTTGTGGACAACCAGGAAGGTACAGAGCAACAGAAAGGTAAGTAAGAGAAGACAGTAAGAGTATCTTCCTTGGCCACCTCCATCAACAGAGGAAGCTCAAAAAAGCCTCCCTAAGAAATTGAACGAAATTTTCACACCTTCTGAAAATGGGGTAGAAAAACAGAAACCTCTTTTGCAGAAGAACACCTTGAAGTGGGGCAGAGCTTTACTTGATGCTTCTCCACATTTAACATGAACGTAGCACCTATTTTCTTTGAGGCCACCAAATCTCCGATCACAAATGCCACCACTAAACCAGCTTTCTCCAGCTGGTGCTGTCCACTGGCAATGGAGCTATATTTCTCATTGTCCCCAAAGATGAAGACCTGGGAAATAACTGCTATGGATTATGGGAACTACAATCCCACATGTTGGAAGGCCCTTGGCTATGGAAACGTCTACTACTGTATGCAGCACTGTAAGATTAAAGAAACCAGAAATCCAATTTATTGGGGCTAACTGAACATATCTCAAAATACCATTTCCCCCAAATTCTTAACCAGGTAAGATCGATCGATCGATCGATCGATCGATCGGTCTATCTATCTATCTATCTATCTATCTATCTATCTATCTATCTATCTATCTATCTATTTATTTTAGTCATTTATCAAATTTGTATGGCTGCCCATCTCACAAAAAAGTGACTCTGGGTGGTGTACTACACTCCGTTAAAAAGAAAACCAATAAATACATATAAAACAGTCAGTATGAAAACTATTTAAAAGTATAAAAAAGCACATGGAACAAGAGAGGATGATGTTAACTGGATTAGCTTCTCAAAGTGAAACATAGACTAAGATCGTACTAAGTCATAGTTTGTCAAATAATTCATCATGGTTCAGTTTAATCATCACACCCAGTCAGGATTTTCAAAACTAAAGCAAGTTGGTTGGGTTCCCACAACATTTTATACCACTTTTCATGGTTTATAAGCCACAATGGCTACGTTCATGTATTTTACAAAGCCAAAAATGGATAAATCTCATTACAGCTTGCAAGGATGGGCAACCTGTAATCTTCTAGATGCTGTTAAAACACAACTCCCAGGAGTCTCATCCACCTGGCTAAGAGTTCAGATGCAACATCTGAACTGCACAGGTTGCCCTGAATGATAAAATGAAGTGAGCAAATGGTGTCAGTTGGTTTTCTCTCAGGTTGTACTGGGAAGCCAAGAATAAAAATAGAAGGCAGTGTGGTACTTTTTCTCTGTAGTACTTTTTCTCTGTTGATTAGCAATCTTGTATGTGAATTATTTGATGGAGGAGAGACAATAACTTTAATTGGTGAATTCCTTTAAAGGGTGTTCTCCAAGATACACAAAAAGGATCCCAAAGAAATTGACCAGCTGAATTCCACACCACCCCTCCTGGACCACCATGGCTGCCTGTAATATATTTAAAAACAAGGCAGTTTCCTGCAGCTGGCACAGATGTGAATGGGGCAGTTTTAAGCCTGCAAACTTTGAGAGGACTAAAAAAGTAGAAGAAGAGAAGAAACTAAGCCTAGAAAGGATACAGTGTGATCATGGGCATCAGCCAAGCAAGGTAAAGCAGGTTTGTTCTATCTTAGAACTGCCTGAACCCAAACCACGGTTCTTCCAAAACCATGCTAATTACTATCTGACTGGCTTGGTGAATCCCTAATCTGCATGAAATGTTCTTCTGTCTGCCCAAGAACAGAGATGCCATTTCAAGTTGAGTTAACACAACATGATAAAATGCAGTTGGCTAGTTGGCACTTGAGTGTATTTTTAATATTTATTTCTCAAATTTATATGGCTGCCCATCTCACCCCAAGTGACTCTGGGCAGCATACAGTAAAACCAAGAATTAAAACATTTTGCAAACCCATTAAAAGAATAAACAGGGATAAAACAAGACCATGAGAAGGGAGATGTTTACATATGGTATAACCACCTATTACCAGGGGATCCCCAGGCTTGCTGA